GACTTATTATATTTATAATTTAATATTTAATTTATATTTTAAACCGGAAACGTTCTTGCAGGAGATCGAGCGTCCAGGACGGGCGTGAGAGGGGACGAGGTCGTGAGAGGGGGGGAGGTCACCAAATGCAAATCGCCTTAACGTCCCATTCCACGGGGTGGGATTTTGCGTCGCGCGGAGTTCTCCTCTCCCGGCCTGTCTTCTTCTATCAGTTACCGGTCCGTTTCCAACGTGGCGCCGAGTATATAACGGGTGGTTCGGCGAGAAAGGCACGAGCGGCGAATTTATGGGCCGCTCTGAGATTATTCCGAGACTTACGCGCCAAGAAGTGCATCACGTTAAACAAATTTATGGCACGCCCGAGATTATGCCGACGAAAAGTAGTCGAACGAGCCCGAGACCGAGTGCACGCGTTTACTGAAACGAAACTCCCTCTCCCCCCTCTCCTCCCCTCCTACCCTAATCTTTTCGTCAACGTTGTTGATTTCTTTCTCGTCTATCGTGGTCTATCGCTCTCCCCGATTGATTCCTTCACGAGAGGCGCCCCCCGTAAGTGCAGATCTAATCGGCGCGCTGCGATTCTAATTAGCGCCGTATGACGGATCGAGAGCGGACATGCAAGCTTCGACGGTTACAGTAGCTCCGGGGCGCGCATGCGCCTCTGTGAAAAACGACATCGCGCGATGAACTGAGGTTATGATCGATCGTGAACGGATGTTGCGTTCTCTGCGGTGGCAATTACGCGCGTCATACGTTGCATAATGCGCGTATATATACGTGTGTACGTGTGTGCATGTGTAAATCGAGCGCGCTTGTCGAGCACGATTCCGATTAATTTGTCAATGACGTCATTTATTTCCGCTCCCAAGGCCCGTTTTATTGTAAATCTGGAAGCACTACGAGCACCCGTCGTCGCGCGCCAGTGGAACAAGCGAATAAATAAAACGATACTCACGCCTCGTGTGCAAACGTTGTCGTGTGTTTTCGGTAATTACCGCGCAGCTTTTTGCAGCGAATCGCGGGATCGGTGTTGACGAATCGGAGCGGACGAGAATACGAGAGCGCAGTTCGCCCCTCTTCACAGGATGAAATTGTTCGAATCGCGGGTGAATAATTTCGCTCTGGAGTGACATAAATTTGACATCTGCCAATTATGCGATGAGATTTTCATTTTCCGCGCGAGATTTAGCGGGCTAATTGGTAGCGATGCTCGTTGCATTTCGTCGAGACCGCGCGGGTTAAAAGAAAAATTCAAGACGTCTAAATGTGCACCGGCTGACCGGGAGATGTAACTTCAAGTGTTCGAGCGTTTGTGTGCGAGTAGAACCTGTCCAAATTGGACAGAAAAATTCTGTGCTCCATTTTGGATGATTATCATGATGAATGTTGAGATAATAATAAAGAGAAAGAAAGAACAATCGGTTAATCTGGAGTGCGTGCTTCCGTTGTTTTGCATTAAACCGTCGGCCGCCGTTGCCAAAAGATTGCCAATCGATTCAAACATGTCGAGTGAGATTTTGCTTGAACAGCTCGCGTCGCGCGCTCTCTCATTTGTCAGTTTTCTCTCGTGATGGTTTTTGGTCACTCGCCACGACCATTTTGATTTATGACGTCGGAAACGAGGCAGCGCACGCTCGAAATTCCTGCAAAATATGGCGAAAGAAAAAGACATATCTATAAGTGTAATCGATGGAGCGGATTTGTAAAATAGTGGAAATACTTTCCTGTTGCTCCGACAATCAGTAAATTAATTAGCAATAAATTATCACGACATAAACGCGCGACACGAATGCAGAGTTTGTAATCCACTTTTCTCACGACCCCTTAATATTGCGGTTATTTGTTGATCGTTAGAGTGGCAGGCGAGTGTTTGGAATATTTTGCAGATCGTCATGTAGTTAATATCTTTTATTCAGGCACAGTTTGCAGAAACTCGGAGAGGGGGAGTAATCTCTCACTTCTTGCTTCGTAGATCAAAATAGCTGCGCGGTGAGTAGACAAATGTTACTACACATCTCAATAATTGCCGCCCAGTAGTTCGCCAAAATGGCGACGAATTTTTCTACTCGAAGTAACGAGTTCCACCTACGCATGCGCGCTCGGACTCCTCGAATATTTCAGTAGAAGCTTAACATTTTCATACGCGTGAGAAGCAAAGAGAAGTATACCTTGCGTTTCGAAATCGGTTTCGGAAACTTTGGTCTTAGATATAAGGTTGGTAGGCCTTAAATTAACTTAGAGACATTTCATAATTGATCAGCTGATCACGCTTGGATGTCCACAACCATGTATTGTTTTAGTTCACAAACTTTAGCTATTAATTTTGTAATTAACAGATAGAGAAGTGGATTTTTTATTATTTATTATCTTGATTTATCGAATCTTTCGATCGTAAAGTCGATCATGTGAATCAATTGATCAATTATAAAACGTACCTCAGTTGGTTTGAGGTCTACCAACCTTGTAACTACTAAAAACGAGGTTTCCAGAACCGATTTCGGAACGCACCTGTAAATCCGAGCAGTCGAGGTTGTTTTCACGAATGCTATCGAGATTTCTCGATGCGTTCCCTCCAGCGTTGTATGCCGCAACGCGCGGTGGACGCGCGCGCGACTTTTCATTTAATTTTGTCTCGACGACGGATACGTTTCACGTTTTAACGATATCATGGCGCGATCGCGTCCTTCGAGCGAGCGCATGGCAAAAGTTGACGCGTAAAGTCCCCCCTCTCCCTCCGGCGATCGTCCGCTCGCAATTTTCACGATGACTGCTTTTTACGTTTCATTCGCTGGAGTGCGCGCGGAATTAGACGCGACGGTGTCTTCGGCGCCGCTAAACGCGCGCCGGCGAAGCCGTTGCGTGCGCGACGCTACTTGCAATTCGAGTTCAAGAGCTCGTTAAAATCCATCGAACTGTGAGGAGAGCACACACACATTGCTCTCTTCCCGCTAGTTCTGCAATTCTCGTCGCGACGACAACTAGACCTTTAATAACGCGTTCTCCTCGCTCGCCTCGTCTACTCTCGCGAAGCATTATCACCGGGCGTTTCCCTCAAACGCGCCGTCCGTTCGTTCGTTCATTCGTTCGTTCCCCTGAAATTATGAGTTCTCGAAGAACAGGGCAGATGGAAAGTACTCGCGATTACGTAAATCCATAATGATAATATCGTTATCCGCCGAAAGAGACACGCGCATCTCTCGAAGGCACGACGCGACGAGTCACGAAGGCTAAAGGAACGTCGATCGAATCGTCTGCCGTAAATTCGCTCTGTTCCACCCCTGATAACGATAATTACGAGAACTACTCCTGCCTTTGGAGAGCAATGAACTTCATTGCACAGAAAAATACACGCTGCACTCAAATAAACGTTATTTGCTTCAAGTACTTCGTAAGTTTGCACAACCATGAGTTTACCATAAGCGTTAAATTTACTCAAAATTTAATCCGAATACTAGAACGCTTGATAGTTTAACTCTGACTTTGACTTGAAAGTTTTAAAACTCTGAAATTAAAATAGGAATATTCGTGATCAAAACGGAAGTTCGATTCGTTTTCTTTTTCTACGTAGAGAATAAATTTTATAATATTCTTGAAGTAAGGAAAATTTAGTGCTCATATAAGTAATAAAATTATTGAGCAACAATAATTTTTCACTGGCCAATTTATCATGGCCGCTAATATTTTCTTACAAGATTTTTCTTTTGGCTAATGAGAGCTAAAAATCTGCCCTGTTCCACTCTTGATAACGATAATCACGAGAACTACCCCTGCCTTTGGGGAGCAATGAACTTTAAACATAGAGAAATACACGTTACGCTGAAGTAAATGTTACTTGCTTCGTAAGTACACTTCGTAAGTTTGCACAACCGTAAGTTCACTATAAACATCAAAGTTACTCAAAATTTGATCGGAATGCTAAAAAGTTTGATACTTTCTCCAAGACTCTGAAATTAAAACAGAAATATTCGCGATCAAAACGAAAGTTCAATTCGCTCTTTCTGTGCAGAACACAAATTTTGTAATATCCTCGAAGAAAGAAAAATTTAGAACTCGTATGAGTGATAAAATTACTAATAACTTTTCATCGGGCAATTTATCACGGCTGGTAATATTTTTCCACGATACGGTTTCCAAGGTAGATTCTTCTTTTGAGTAAACGAGAAGATACAAAGAGCTACCCCAACATTGCTGATGAGTATATTTTAAGACTATTACCAGCGAAATGTCCTGTTTGTTGAGGATAACTGCCACTCGAAAGAAGGCGAGTAGTAAACCGAGTAATCGCTTCTCTCATCAGCAAAATGAATTTCCTCCGTGCAAACTACACCGAAAAGCTCAACTGTGCTGGTTAGCGTCCGGACGCGAGGCGAAAATGGACGCCATGCCTCTCTCTGTCTAACAAATTCTGATTGCTCGACAGTTTTCTGTTGACTGCGAACCTCAGCTCTACCAACACCGACAGACCGTTCGTTACAAGCGCGGAGCACTCCATGTCGCGCATTCTCACGATGTTTCGACCTGTCGCTGAGGGCGGGCAATATTTCCAGCTCGCGGAGAAAAAAGGACAAAAGAGAATGTGCCTATGTTACTCCCTCCCCTTTCTCGTCGCGTTTTCTCCCGTTTGAACGGGCTCCAGCTTCACCGCTGGAGACGTATCGCCGGTGGCGCGGCATGCGTATCGATAGCGCTCGCCGGGTCGAGACGGTGTCGGGCTGACGGTGTGAATTTGCGGTAACATCGTAGTCGCCGCTGTTGCGGATATCTAGAATTAGCTGCTCTCGCGGCTCGTTGCTGAGTAGTTTGGCCCGACGTGTTATTACGGCTTGCGCCGTTGCCGAAAGCTGACGTCGTCCAAGTACTCTGTTCCGCGGGCCAGCAGCAAGGGCCAGAGAGAATGGGAGGGTACGGAGGAAGAGGCGGGAAACACGGAGAAGGGTAGAGTGGGAAGGGTAGATGCGAGGTAGTCTAGCGCGGCTAATGGTAAAGTCGGTTTGGCTCACCGTTTGTGCTGAATCCTGAGGCCTCTTCGGGGGTGCAGCGGTACACCGTTCTTCAGCCAGCGCACACTCGGGGGCGGCGAGCCCCTCGTCCTGCATACTAGCTTCACTCTCTCCCGTAACCTCGCTATCGAGTCCCTGAGCTCGGACAACGTAACTTCTCGCACTGAAATCAAAAGTTAGAATCTCGTTAACGCCTCGGCGTCTGCGAACGCACGTGCGCGCACGCTGCGGCGCTTTCGGACGCGCCGCCGATACCACGGAGCTTTAATTAACCCGTGCGATATAGTTTGGGTAAGATGGCGGTGTATGGCGCGAACGGGAACTGAGTTTCGGCTCCGAAGAACCGATTTTCGTCCGACCGACCGACCGACCACTTTGGCTGTCGTGCGGCCGGCGAGACGGCGGCTAGCCGCGTTCGTTTTCGCCAGCTTCGTGAAAACGTGGACGCGGACGCCATTGCTCGTGCGGTCAGCTTTGAAGAAAGGCATATCGAGAGACTCCATTGGCCTGCGCCCGCCTTTTTCGCGCGGCGCTGATTCGTTATCCGGAAGTCGCGGTCTTGCAAATTCGCGTCTTCGTTCGCCTCCTTCGCTTCCTTCGCTTCCTCGCGCTTGCTGTTGACGTGTTGCTTTTGTGTGATGTAATTAACGGCGCTATTGATTACTCCACTATTTCGGCGCTCGTGGGATAATATTCTAGGACGGTGCCCTAAACGATGTTTGCTCTTCTGTGCTCTCTGGCATAGAGCGCTGCGTGGAAGGTTTCGACCCAGTAATCGGCTAAGTGTGTTGATTAATAAACTCTTTAGTAACATTGGTTCCGTTTTAGTACGCTGTTAAATATTGACAATAGGACTTATGAACGCACTTACAGTGTAATTCTTTTCGTCTATTCATTGTGATATTTCCTCTACAAGTGATAATGTATTCATGTTATTTTCCTGTTTCCTTTTTGTACAAGACGAACACTTTCCCGTGTATTTAACAAAATAATAATAATTAGTACTATTTATATTATTTTTTACTTTTTTCTCGCACGAAGGAAGTACTTTCCCGTATACTTAGTAAAATAGTAATAATAATTATTATTATTATTCATATTATTTTTCCATTTCTTATAGTTTTCTTGTTTTTTTGCACAAGGAGAGTATTTTCCCGTATGGTAAAATAATGATAATGATAATAATAATAATTATTATTATTATCTCACAAGCGGCTAAGATAATAATAATTATTATTATTATTCACGTTGTTTTCCTGTTTTTTTTTGCACAAGGGGAATATTTTGCTGTATACTTAATAAAATAATAAAATAATTATTATATAACTATTATTATTATTTATACTATTTCTCCGTTTCTTTTTGCACAAGGGGAATATTTTCCCGTATAGTTAGTTATTATCATTATTATTATATTTATTTATTTTTATATTATTATATTATTTTATATTATTTTTATATTATTTATTTATTATATTATTATATATTATTATATAAAATAATAATAATGATAATAATAATTATTATTACTATTATCTCACGAGCGGCTATATCTTCTGGGTGCCTAAGGCTTCACCCTTATCTTTTGGATATTAAGAAAATCGAAGAAAAGAACAAGAAGAACGCAAAGGTTGCACGCTTAAACAGTACGTACGTTAAGAAGATTAACATTCTCTTGCGCATGAGTTGCCACGCGCGCAAGAGGAGTTAACATTTCCGTCAACTTTACATATTTCAACGTTCGATAATATGAGAAAGTTTATGTGCGTGTGTGTGTGTGTGTGTGTGTGTTAATAATAGTTAGTTAAACAGCGCGCCTCTGTACCGTAGCAATAAAATAACGTAGAAAAAAGGGGAACGGTCGGCGGAGTGGCGGAAGCGGAGAGCGGCGTTTCGGCGCGGGATCGTGTGCGGCAGAAGGAGCTCTTCCTTTCGACAACCGGATACGGCTATGCCCCGCGTCGGGTTTTGGCAAAGGCGCACCGGGCGCGGACTTCACGTTACGTTCGAGAGAGGCCGAACGCCGATAGCGCGTAGCCGCGGCTATATCGGGCTATCGAGTATTGATTTACAATTCCGTTGGGCTCCAGAATGCGGGTGTAAAAACGAGCTGCTCGGACGCAAACACGCGCGAGGACCAATGAACGAACGGGCAGACAGCTTTGCTTGGACGAACGTGAAAGCGCGCGCGTTTATGAAAAATCCGCGTCGCGCGACTTGCGGAAGGAAGCTTTTGACGTGCGAGACAGAGCGAGCGAGAGAGCGAGAGAGGGAGAGAGGGGGAGAGAGAGAGAGAGAGAGCTCACATATAATTTTTCTTTTTGCCCGGCATAAAATATGATCGCGCGAAACAAAGGCGACTCGACTCGGTCGGATATGGGGGATAAATGAAGAGGCGGAAAATTTGCGTTAATAAAAACGACGAGGGTCGGGCAAGGGTTGTATGCGTCTGTGTGTGTGTGTGTGTGTGTGTGTGTGTGTGTGTGTGGCGGAGGGTGAGGGTATACGGTACGCAGCGCTAGGATCGCGTGATTTCAAAGGCACGATATAGAATTCCCGCTGAAAATACAGGGAAACGTTCAATGAGCTATCTCCCTCCCTCCCTCCCTCCCTCCCTCCCATTCTCCCTCGTCCATTATATTCATGTCGCATGATAGGGAATGATAATAAGGCGCCGTTAGCAAAGATTTCTTTGTCGGACTCTGCGTGGCGTAGGATGTCGCCGTCGCCGCTTGATTTATTATGTTTTCACGTGCATATACGCGGCAATCGCATTCGCCGTAAATATATTTCTCCCTTCGTATGTCGCGTGTAAATAAAATTGATGTCGTCCCGTAGATACCTTTGGGAAATTGAACGTGTACGGAGCACGTGGCTGTTCTCCGCGGCGATGACAACGACGGGGACGACGAGGACAGCAGTCTCGCACGCGTCTCGCCAAGCGTGAGCGTTGATCGATCGACGGACGATTAAAAGCAATTTTATCTCGCCGATCTCGCGCGCACGGCGCGGCGCTCCCGGATTGCGCTTGCCACGCGACTCGTGCGGCGGCTGCATTAAATAACAATAAGCTGGCGAGAGTGGTCGCCGATCGAGAAATGCTCAGCAGAGAGAGAGAGACAGAGAGACAGAGAGACAGACAGAGAGACAGACAGAGAGACAGCGAGAGACAGAGAGACAGAGAGACAGAGACAGCGACAGAATCAGAGATAGAGTCAGAGACAACGACAGCGACAGCGACAGGGACAGCGACAGCGACAGAGTCAGCGACAGAGACGGTGATAGTGACAGAGATAGACAGTGACAGAGATAGAAAGCGACAGAGATAGACAAAGATAGTGACAACGACAGAGACAGTGACAGAGACAGAGACAGAGACAGAGACAGAGACAGAGACAGAGAGAGAGAGAGAGAGAGAGAGAGAGAGAGAGAGAGAGAGAGAGAGAGAGAGAGAGAGAGAGAGAGAGAGAGAGAGAGAGAGAGAATCCACCGGTGTCTGGAAAGTTAATGAGACTCATCGTCGTGAGAGACCTTCGTCTTAGCAAGATGCCTCCTCACCACCCCGCTCGCCCAAAAGATTGCCGCCGGTGGTCGTTCGGGCTTACGCGACGAGTGCAGCAGCGCCTGGAAACTTTACTTTGTTGGCCGCGTCTCTCTTCGAGATGTTCATTTTCCACGCTAATCGGCCCGCCATGCAGTTGCCGTTACGTCCCCGTCGGGCTTGTCGACGTTGCTCGGATATTTGTCGTAAATTCACCGTGGTGCTTCGCCGAATACGTAAATCGATGGCGGCCGATTTGCATAACAGATTCTTCGCTTAATTGGAACACGACACGCCTCTACGATTCCTTTGATTTAAATTAGTTGTCGCGCCACCCCAATTCCTCCCTCTCCCCCCTCCCCCGTCCGGAAGAGCGATTCGATACGCTTGACAGCGGGGATGCCACTCGGGCCGTCACCGACGACAACCACGGCGGCGATCGAACGTGCGTAGTGAAAGAGCGTTCCTTTGAATGACGAATAATTGTATGTGGGTTGGGGGGGAGGGAGGCAGAGGATGGCAGAGGCAAAAAACGGGAGACAGTGAATTAATCGAGCGAGCGGGAGTTGGTGCGTACCAACCACGCGAGCGAGGGTTTATATTTGCCATTGCGATCACGTAAAGTAATACTGATTGTATTGTTTCGAACACGCGAGAACATAATCCGTACTCCCCTTCCCTCCCCGCCCCTTCCCTTTCTCTCTCTCCCAGGCGCAGCGATGCCGTTTCTTGCATTACGCGGCTATTAAATTAATTTCGCGAATTGATGAGCGCCCGTCCATCATGTTCGCGATTGTACGCTCTCTGTATTCCCCCGCCCCCTTCCCCCTCTCTCTCTCTCTCTCTCTCTCTCTCTTTCTCTATCTCCGTATGTGTTCAATTTCCAATAGTATAGATTATGATACGCGGCGTGTAAAATTCGTGTAAATTCGCGCATGCATACGTATGCGGGAAGCGTCCGCTATTTATTCACGGACGCCAACACGCGGAATTCTCTCTCTCTCTCTCTCTCTCTCTCTCTCTCTCTCTTTACCGCTCTCTTGCTAGTTAAACGCATTATAACTACTGTTTCCTCGCGACGGGTTCGCTCGCGCTCGCGGGATAATTGCGTCACAGCGAAGTTTAATGAAAACACGATGCGACCTGATTATCTTTGACAGCATCGCGCGGGGTCATGAAAAACGCCCGCGGGGCGTTTAATATGTCGGCCATATGTGTGCGTAGACTTGCGATGAATGTAATACGGAATATTAGGAGGGTAGCTTCGCGAACTGAGTCAGTGGTCTCGCGTCTGAAAACTCCGCGGCTTGCGAACTGGGCTTACCGATCTCGCGAATGTATGTCCTTTCAGCTGGTGAGTGTCCTTTGGCGATGCGCGACGGAATCATGGCGAGAAACGGAGCTCGCGGTGGATTTTCAGCGACCGCCAGCCAACGGATTTTCGGGTCGTTAGAAAGAGAGATAGGTAGGTAGATAGGTAAATAGAAGGATTTATTCTGCGCTTTAGGAGAACTTTTTCTTGAGCGCCACTTAAGATACGATAAGTACTGAAAGCGAGATGGAAAAAAGTTGTGTAATATAATAAGTAAGAGAGCAAGAAGGAAAGAAAACTGGAGTACAAC